CGTCAGTCTGAAGGTCTGGCTACGCGAGACTAAGACTTCCATGACTGAAGCAGCAGCAGCTCTGTGTCCTGTGCATTATTAATTATCTCCCCTCATCAGGCGGTGAGGGTACTACACATCCATCGAAATGGTTTCATCTCTGAGATATGAGAGGTGACGATTAGAGGTCTGCACGGGCTTTAAACTGAAGCCCGAACCCGGCCCGTACCCGCGATCATTTAACCCGACCCGACCCGACCCGACAATTACATTTACATATTAAGCCCGAACCCGACCCGAACCCGAGGTCCATTCTGTTTCTCACAGCAATACCATTTTTGCAATATGCTACGTTGTATTTAATGATTGCTTGACTGACATATTAAACAAATATATGTAGGCACAGCGGCCCTATCAGCAGGCAGCACAGCAGTAAGAGAAAAAACTTACCAAGTAATTTTTTGCTTTATCAGACTCATGGTTTGCTTGTTGTCGTCGGCTGTCTGTATTGTTACTGAAATAGGGCGCGAGAGCGGTAGCACATGCGCAAAACAGTTTTGTGATATAAATGATATGATAAAATAAAACAAATAATTAAAAAAATTATATTTATATATCATTATATTTGAGAGAGAGAAAATCGCGCACATATTGCACATCTGCGCACGTAGCCTATACTTTCTCTCTCTCGCGTGCCGGTCACCACAACACAGCAAGCAGGCAAAGCACACGGCACGCAAACTATATATAGCCTATTTAGTTTTTCTTAGTTAAACCCGAACCCGACCCGAACCCGAGGCTGTTCATTAACATTAACCCGAACCCGACCCGAAACCCGCACATTTTTCGGGACCCGTCGGGCTCGGGTCGGGTAGATGACCTCTAGTGACGATGCATCCATAGGAGGGGTTTCCTCTCTGTAGTGGTGACAGGTTTTAGTGGTAACAACACATCCATCGGAATGATTTCCTCACTGTGGTAATGGTTTAGTGGGATAAGAATGGGGGTTTAAGCTTCATTGGGGTCATCAGGTGGGCACCCCCCTTCTCTGGTGTATCAATGATAGGCCCACGACACCTCCAGAGGGCTCATCGGCAGCACCTGGCGTCCCAGGTGTGTCCCCCTCTGCTTTCAACCCTTACATGCCACGGGTGGTATTAGGGGCCCAGTATAGGCTATATGGATTTTACGTCATAGGAATAATTATATAAATCATTATTACATTATTATAATAATTGTTTGGCATCCTAAAACACCAGTGATAATGTAATGTAGACTTGAGACTCTATATATCATAACTAAAAAGATGTTTGAGCCCTCTTTAATGTCCTGGTAAATCAATGCTTTTTCTTTGTTCAATGAGCAGTTCATGGGTTGAAGCTCTTAATTTTGATCTCTCAAAGAGCACCAGATTGATGCATTTAACCTTAAAATGTACACAATTTCCTTGCGGGGGAGCATGCCCCCGAACCCCCCGAGAGGCACAGAGGTCCACCCAACATACTTTTACAAAATCCTATGTGAAAGAACAACCATTTATTAACTTTACTCCAGCATAGTACGACAAAGTTCCTTTTAAGTCAGTAAAACTGTAAATGCCATATTAAAATGTCCTTGGACAAAATATACATTTGGCCTGCCTAAGAGGGGGCCTACAAGACATTGTGCCCAGGGGCTTCTGAACTCTTAATCCAGCCCTGCCGGCGACGAGGGCCTGTGGTCTACAAAATTTCCCAGTAGATTTTTTGGTCCCACTCCGCCCCTGCCCTAAAAGGCACTATGGGGAAGCATGAGTGTCTGAAGCATGAGTCAAACACAACAATGAACTTGACATTGGCAGGCTGCAGCCTATGACGTCACCACTGGTGCGACCGTGAGTATAAAAGGGCACCTGTGAAATACGTCATCCTCTTTCTTGTCTTCAGGAAACTGTTTGTTTGTACAAGAGTGAGGAGCATGTGCGTTAAGCCTAGATAGCGTGGTGAATGTTTCAAATAATGAGACGCTAAATATAATTTTGGCTTTACTAAGATTTTCCCTAAGATAATCTTGGTGTCCCCCATGATTCCTGGTCTTTCATACAACAAAGCCTTTAAATGCGACAAGCTCGTAATCACGACTTCAGAAGTGGGAAGTAGGAAATTTCCAATAGCGTGAAGGCAGCATCAAATCTGCAGTGGTCCAGTGGTACAGGTTGTAGCTCTCAGAAAATTACACTTTTTTGTAATTACAAGTTCTAGAAACACGTGAAGGCTTTTTCCATATCAGAATTATTACGGTTATTACGACATGGCGTAAACACACTTTTGTTTACACTTTTTATACTTATTCAACCCCCATTGCAAATCAGTTTTGTTTTTTTTGGCAAAATGTACAAATCAAACAAAAGTAATTAAAATCGCTCAACACAACAAATGCTTCAAGTGTTTTCCCCAAAATCAACTGAAAATGCAACTTTTAATGACTTCTGCAGTCTCAAAATTATTCTACCCCCTGAATAGAATCCCTCACAACAGCATAAATCTGCAATACAGGTGTTGTCTCAAGCACACCTGATGCAACTAATCAAGGGCTTCATTAGTTGTACCAGGTGTGCTTGAGCTAAAACACATGAAATATCTGAACTGGCTAGGTTTGTTGAGAGTCTAGGCTGGTCCCTGGAGCGTACGATCACACCGGTGTGATTAGAACGGTCAGTGCATCACGTGATCAACTGCTAAATTCAAATGTCCTTTGACTAGCGCTGAGCCAGAGACGGACGCGTTCAGCGCTTGTCATATATCACAACTATTCAGTGTTTTCAGTCTATTCAGTGTTTAATGTTTATTTTAAATTTCAGACATTCAAATTCACATAAGTACTAAAAAACATGTCTATGGATGCGGCAATAATAATCCTTTCCATTATAAGTAGACGGCACGTTTTATTCATATCAGATACACATTGTTGTGTAAGTAACTTTAAAGTTTACTCTATTCTTCTCTATTCACGTGTTGTAAATCCAACAGATCCGATTCTCTGAACTGCGGTGCAAACTAACATGGCGGTGCCCATCGCGCACATAGCACTAACGCGATCATTATAAAGATGTTTAAACAACAAAACACATCCACTTGCACATATTTGACAATCGGAACATCAGATATTTCATGCTATAGCTAGCAGATTTGTGAATAAAAAATGAAGTCATTCAGCTCTGGTTTGGATGCGGTGTGTCACGTGACAAGCAATGACGCATCACCATGGAAACAATAAAAGTGATACGTTCTAAATAACAGTCGCCTTGAAAAACTCACGCTTGGGGGTCAGCCAGAATATTTTAAACTTACGTGTGAAAAGGTAAAGCATAATGGTGCTCGGTGATGCTCTGGGGCTGCTTTGCATGCACGGGAAAACCTGCAGCATATGGAAGGAAAGATGGATTCATTGAGGTATCAGGAAATCCTATGAGAAAACGTCATGTCATCAGTGAGGAAGCTCGGGCGTCATTGGACCTTCCAACGAGGCTAAGATTCCTCAGAAACCAGAAGCTGGTCTCTGGTTATACATCTCATTTGCAGCAGGTCATAACAGCAAAAGGGTGTTCTAAGTACTAAAGATGCTTGCCATGAAGGGGTTGAATATTTTTGCGACTGCAGAAGTCATTAAAAGTTCTGTTGAATTTGGGGAAACACCTTGAAACATGTTGTATTGAGCTATTTCAATTACTTTTGTTTGATTTGTTTATCGCAAACTCGTAAATTTTGCCAATAAAGATTTGCAATTAGTCATGCAGAGGACTTAAGAGTCCAAGAGCAGAAACTGAACAAGTATGAATAAGCACTATAGAATAGTATAAATTCTATAAGAGTATACAGTACGTTTCTGCATTACTTCCACTCTCAGCAATGCAAAAAGAATATGGAATGTTCACAGCTGTGGGAGAGTGGAGTAAGATTAAGTTTAAGTGATTGCATAAATTCTACTGCAAGCCTCAGAAAAAAGAGAGATGAAATCAAGAACATCTGTAACATAGGGCTATAGAAATATGACTTAGGGGGAAGATGGCATGTCATAAATCAAATATGTGCATATCCATTTTGTCAAAATGTTTACAAAAAGTTCTACAAGACTAAATCAATCAAAACAACAGTTCTCCATATGGGACGAATTAACATTCCAGCCATCAGTGTTGCCGGGTGGTCCCCAAAGAAGCTGAAGTACCCTCTAAGTTTGAGGGGAACAAAAACTCAAAATTCTTTGAAAGCAAATTTAGAGTTCTCTTAAATAGTGGTGAAGTTTCAAATAAATCTGACCCTCACTTTATTACCCTCAAGACTTGAAGTGGAACTCCTTTCTGCAGAATTTCTGGTTTAAGTAAAGGTCATACAACAGCCTCTGAACGTCTGTAACAAGTAAGATGCACCAATTCAAGGATGAGATTCTCATGTCCTGCATGGTGAAATGTTAAGTTGTTTATTAAAATGGAATTCCCCAAAAGCAGCAATGAGATTTTGGCACACTATGAATTATTGTCACTCTTACTGGCAAAGACCTGCACGATTTCACTGGCTGCTATGTGCCTGTCACTAAACCATCTCCTTTAAGAAACACAAGTCTGCAGTTTAGGTCTGATTAAGGCCAGGTCAGGGCCAACATGCATCAAGATAGTGAATGGTGATCAATGTTGAGACACACATAAGGGAGGAAGAGATAATGTGACATAAACACACAACATGCACTGCTGGACATCTTCAAAAGCATGATCAATTTAGGGGAATCTCGTTGCACAATATTACATTTCATCTGATTTTTTTCTGTTTTATTGGCACACAGACCATAGAAAGTTCTAAAGCAGATGTTTAAGGGGAAAGGGATTTGGCAAAGATGTTATATTGTGCAATAATGGCAGGGGTGAAAATCGGGGCTGTAAAAAGACTCCAGACTCCCAGCGGTTCCATCCTCGGCTCACGCTAAAACATCTCCCTACCATATTAGAGATATCGCTTCAGGTATGCTGTTTATGATTGCAGTGCAGGAACTCTTAAGTCATTTGCGATTTGTTAAAACAATACCGAAAGTCAATCAACAGGATCCACTTTTTAACAGCGTTTAATGCAGTAGTATGTAAAATCTAGGCAAAATGTGACAAGGGGGCGTGGCAAAGGATCAGGTTTTGTTGCTATAAAAAGTGTCAACTAAACAGAGGAGGACATAAGAGCAGCTTTAGCCGTGAAGAAAAACACCATTCTTCCGAGAACCTCTGAGGTAAAGACGAGACATGCGGTCTAGCTATTATTCAGCACATTAGAGCCTCATGTTATTTATTACATTGGCTGGTGGATGCACATAATGAAATGAAAACTGCTTCTACTAAACATTTCCTTGTCTTTTCTTGCAGCTTATACACAGCATTCAGCCATGAAGTTTCAAATCCTGGTTTTTCTCCTGCTGTTGGCTTGCATGTATCCCAGTGTGGCACAAGGTAAGAACTTATTTATAAAGTGAGATCATTTCAATTATGCATTGATAATGTTATATTAATTTAGTAATATTAAATATACAGTTAAAAAAATTTTTTTACATTTGTATAAATATATACAAATAACTGGTCAGTTTCTAAAACATTTCAGCTTTTTTATACAAGGGTTTAACAGGAAGTAAAAAATGATAAATGAAGAAAGAGTGATGAAGTGTGCTTTTTCCATAAATAGATACACTGAAAAAAAATAGAATGGTAACTAAATTAACTGGTTTTATAAGCCAAGAATATTATTTAAAATCACAGAATCAAACTTAATGCAAAAATAACTTAATATAGATATATATCATTTTGATTTATTCTCAGGTTCCTATGAAAACTGCTGTTTGAAGTACATTGTAGGGGTAAGGAAGGCCATGAGAAAAAATATAGAGAGTTACAGAGTGCAGCAAACAGATGGAGGATGTAACATTCCTGCTATTGTGTGAGTATTATAAATCAAGCACATAAAAAACAAACACTTAGAAAGCTGGAATTCATGGTACCAGTAACACTGGGTTGTCTTATGCAGCTATTACACCGCAATTTAACAGCCACGGCTGCAGCAGAGATATGTATGTCTTTTTGATTTTTCTTTTTCTGGTCTCCAAACAGTTTTAAGCTGAAGAAATCAAAGACGCTCTGTGCTGATCCAAGACGACCCTGGGTGCAACAACTCATGCAGACAATAGATAAGAAAAACACAGGCTCTATGTAGTGTACGAGTTTCTGAGACACATTTGATCACGCCACTGCAGACGAAACTGTTGTATTTTTAACCACACACAAAAAAAAATGTGTATTAGACCAATACACTATAATATGTAGTTTATAACACCATCACTCCTGCTGATTCATATATTTTCTATATCAGAGTGAATCTTCATGCCGAGGTTCATAATGAACTGTATTGGTTTGCTTCTGTTCATTGTATTAGAACAATATGAATGTATGAACTGTGAATTGTTTCCATTCTCCACAATGAATCCTTTTATACTTTGTATATAATTTTATCTCTTTTTTTGATGTTTTAGTCGAATATACATGTAACCTGTGAACTGCAGTGCCTTTATCTGTATCTCTCTCTCTCTCTCTCTCTCTCTCTCTCTCTCTCTCTCTCTCTCTCTCTTTCTGTGTGTGTGTGTGTGTGTGTGTGCGTGCGTGCATGTGTGTGTGTGGTGTGCTTGGGTGGGTAAGTGGGCATTCGGTAATCGGTATATAATAAAGTGTTGCAATTGTACATTTAAATTGGCATGTCTTTTTATTTCTTGTGCAATATTCTGTAATATTTCGATAACGATAATCTAGCATCTAATATGATATCAATAATAAACTAAATAAATTATATTAATATATATATATTGTATTTTGTTAGGTAATTTTGAACATGCAAAAATTGAGACACTGCTTAATTTAGGCTTTAAATTAAATATGAATTTCTTAATGAGAAAAGCTTGGTAATAAAGTAAGTTTGCCTTTCAGGGTCTCAGCCTTTCTAAGAAAATGCTCTTATTTTCCAGTTAGTTCCATGCCACTGAGCACGTGTTTGTTCTTGCTTAAGATCTTTGTGATTGATTTAGGCCATTCTTATCTCTGTATCTTTCAAATGCCAAAGTATCACTCTGAGATGTGACAGGTGAAGCCTAAACTTGCTGGGGTGGGATAAATTACTGAGAGTTTCTCAGTTTCATGCCAAATAGCTGCGATTCAAATACTCTGTATCTAAACCTGTCATCGCATCCATTTAATCTTGCTGTGTGGGCAAAAGCTTTATTTGTTCAAACAAAATTTATTTCATCTTTGTTCAAGGATACTACACTCTTAAAAATAATGGTTCTGTATTGTCATTGATGGTTACATGGAACCTTTCATTTGTACAAAAGGTTCTTTGTAGTGGAGAAAAAAAGTTCTTCACACAAGGGGGAAAAAAATTGTTCTTTTAAGATCTGATCACTGAAAGGTTCTTTGAAGAGCCCAAAAGGGTTTTTCTATAAAATTGATGTGAAACCGAGACTACCTTTTTTTAAAAAGAGTGTATTTAACTCTTTCCCTGACAGCATTTTTGAAAAAAGTTTAGAATATTTTGTATAAATCTGAAGTTGCAATGTATCAGAACAGAGCATCTAGACCCTGCTTTTGAATATACAAACAAAGGTTTTATTCTAGATTTATGCATTCTTCATTTTTTTCAATAATTGAATTTGGGTAAGTTTCATTAAAAAAGCAACATTTTCAGAACGATTCAGAACGATGTTCAAAACATAGATGGAGTAGATCTAGTCCATCCCCCCAATTATCTGCACAGTCCTTAGTAGCCTGTTTCTTTTCGTTTTGAATTGTTTCGTTTAAAGACATTTCAAGCTTTCGATATCTATTTCTCATGTCTGTGAGGCATACGCTGAGTTTCGGTTAATGAGATGCGCTCCAGTTCATGTGCAATGCAAGTGACCGCGCCGGCGCTTCCATGATTATATTGTCTGCTATATTTGCTTCTTATTTGTTAAATCTAGGCAATTGGTTGATGGCTTTCTACAAAACAAAACTTAATGAAGTGGTCAAAATCATGTCTGACCCACTCCATGTCTCCCGATATATTGTGCATCATATCTTACTCAAGCTGTTCACTTTTCATAATCAACATAGATGTAAAAAACAATAACATTATAATATTTTAACAAATATGAAACCCTCCATGGAACATGGAACTTCGCCCAACAGTTCTCCCAATCAGCCGGTGGCAGATCCTGCACCTGATCGTCGCTGAGGGCGTCCCCCTGCCGCCGCCTCTGCTCCCGCTAGGCCACAGCAGCAGCCTTCACCCAGGCCTCAGCGTGGAGCCGGCCGCAGGGGTCACCCAGGGATGGAGGAACAAGCTCTTCGGGAGATGGTGACCGCACCACTCCCTCCCCCGGAGGAGGGCCGGTTGGAGAATCTTTGTTTTGTGTATGTTTCTGTTTCGCCCACATTTTCAAAGAAAGAGCAAATTCCTCTGTTCCTGGGTCCCAAGAGGGCCAGACTGGCAGTGTGCGACCCTGTAAAGCTTTATCACCCTCAGCCAACCGGCAGCCAGGTGCGGTTCGAGGACCCGATTACGCCTTCTCCTGCCGACCTGTTGAGACCGGTAAGTGTTGCACCGCACACTCAGACCCCACTTCGGGCCGCCCCTGGGCCTTCCAAGTTGAATCCCTGTCATCCACTTAGCTGGGTACATCTGTGGTCCCCCTGGCACGGTTTGTGGAAGCCTGGAGAGTGCATTTTCGAATGCATCCGTCCCCGAGATTGGTTTGCCACAATCGACCTGAAGGACGCGTACTTTCATGTCTCCATCCTCCTGCGACACAGGCCATTCCTGCTCTTTGCGTTCGAGGGTCGAGCATATCAGTACAAAATCCTACCATTAGGACTGGCCCTGTCGCCCCGCGTCTTTACGAAGGTCGTGGAGGCGGCCATTGCTCCCATGAGAGAGCGTGGTGTTCGTATCCTCAACTATCTTGACGACTGGCTGATACTAGCCCAGTCTCAAGAGCAGTTGTGCAAGCAAAGGGACTTGCTGCTCCAGCATATCAGTCAGTTGGGTCTTCGTGTCAACTGGGAAAAGAGCAAACTCGCCCCCGTGCAGAGGATCTCTTTTCTCGGTATGGAGTAGTCCACCAGACGGCATCCCTCACAAAGGATCGTGTCCGGTCGGTGCCTGAACTGCTTGAATACTGTCAAGAGCAGAACAGTGGTCCCCCTGAAACTTTAAGAGGCTCCTGGGGCATATGGCATCCGCAGCCGCAGTAACCCCGCTCGGATTGCTTCATATGAGACCGCTTCAGAACTGGCTTCACGGCCGAGTCCCGAAATGGGCACGGCAGAGCGGCACGCTCCATGTGAAAATCACCCCAACCTGCCTCCAAACACTCAGCCAGTGGTCAGACCCTTCGTTTCTCCGGGCCGGAGTGCCCCTAGAACAAGTGTCCAGATATGCTGTGGTCTCCACAGATGCCTCCAACACTAGCTGGGGGGCCACGTACAACGGGCATGCAGTAGCGGGGGTCTGGGCAGGCCCCCAACTGCATTGGCACATCAACTGCCTCGAGTTGCTAGCAGTACACCTTGCTCTGAGACGCCTCAAAACGCCGCTGCTGGACAGGCATGTACTGGACCATAAACAACACTGCGACCTATGCGTACATCAACCATCAAGGTGGTCTACGCTCCCGTCGCATGTCGCAACTCGCCCGCCATCTCCTCCTATGGAGTCAGAAGCATCTGAGGTCGCTTCGTGCCACTTATATCGCCGGCCTTCTCAATCGTGCCGCCGATGAGCTCTCACGACAGCCTGTGGCCCCGGGAGAGTAGAGACTCCATCCCCAGGCGGTCCAGCTGATTTGAGACCACTTTGGGGCCGCACAGATAGATCTGTTTGCCTCTCCGGGCTCGTCCCATTGACAGTTGTTCTACTCCCTGACCGAGGGGACCCTCTATTGCCGCACATCACGATGCAGTTGATGGGAGATCCTTGGGGAAGCACGACCTGATCGTCAGTTTCCTGAGGGGCGCGAGGAGACTGAATCCGCCTCGCCCCCCATATATACCCTCTTGGGACTTATCTCTGGTGCTGACGGCACTGCAGAGACCTCCCTTTGAGTCATTGCAGGCAGCAGAGTTAAAAGTCCTGTCTATAAAAACAGTTCTCCTGCTTGCTGTGGCCTCTATCAAGAGGGCTAATTATGCCTGGAATTCGGCCTGGCCGACTCTCACATAATCCTGAGACCCCGGCCTGGATATGTGCCCAAGGTTTCTACCACTCCCTTTTGGGACCAGGTGGCGAACATGCAAGCGCTGCCCCCGGAGGAGGCAGACCCAGCCCTGGCTTTTCTCTGTCCCGTCCGCGCTCTGCGCCTGTACTCGGACAGAACGCAAAGCCTCAGGACCTCAGAGCAGCTCTTCGTCTGTTACGGAGGCCAGCAGAAAGGAAAGGCTGTCTCCAAGCCAGACTGATCTCATGAAATGGCGTATGTATGACACGCCAATTCGTATTTCCATTTTTGGCTTGCTATCAACACGCATAATTGCTTTTCAGCGTGTTTATCAACGCCGTTGACTTAACGTTACACTACTGTATATATAAATATATGACCTACCCCAACCCCGTCCCTAAACCTACCCGTCACTGGGGTTAATACCATTTATGAGTCTTCCCCTACCATCCTAGGAAAAAAAATATCGCTCCCCAGATGTAGATCTACATTTTACTTCGTTTTGCTCAGACATTTAACGGCGTAGACATATACGCAAAAGATGACGGTTCGTTTCGGCGTGGACATACACGCGGATAAGGACATACACGTGGATAGTTCAAAATGCGCATAGATAACACGCCACTTGACTTGAAAGTGGCGTGTATGTTCACGCAAAAGTCATGTTGTCCAAGCAGAGGTTGCCCCACTGGATAGTGGATGCCATCGTCTTGGCGTATCAATCCCATCGTCTTGGCGTATCAATCCCAAGACGCACCATGCCCCCCCGGGTTGCGAGCCCACTCCACTCCACTGGGCGACACCAAACTCGTTCGCTAGATTCTGTAGCCTACATGTCGAGCCGGTAGTTTCCCGTGTGCTCTCTTCGCATAGAAGCCAACCAACACCGTAAGCCCCGCTCGAAGTGTCGGCTTGCTGCGCCATTCCCCTCCTATGGACTGGATACATGCACCATTCTTGCTCCAGCCAGTTCCTCTTAGCCAAACCCTGTTGAGTTCCTCCACACCCCTCGGCAACAGACGTGGCGGAGCGTCTGTTGCCAGGCCTATCACTCGTATGCACTGGCCTATAACTCGTATGCACTACGGCGATCCCATATGTGTGTTCTTCCACCGTACGGCTCCCTGTGGTGAGCCCGTGTCTTTCCCTTGGCAGAGCCCTCTTTGCCGTCTCCCCCCTGCCTAGGCCGGAGCCACCTCAGTGACATTCCATATGTTGTACTG